GACTTTCACAGGCAAACATGTAAACCTTCTAATTAGTAACAACTGCCAATAGCCTTATGTAAGAAGCAGCTCTAAGCATGTCTCTTTGCTGGAAGAAATGTCTGACCATATGATTATTTATATGCATTACTCATGCATCACTCATATAGGTACATTTAGCTCTTGAATCTCCGACCTTTGGACTGGCTAACAAATTTGACCTACAACTCTGAAACTTGGGCTTTGAATGACTCTTCTGCATGCTCATGTTTTAAAACAGACTTTTTGAGCAAGCTTTTGCTTTCTTTACATTCCTTTGGTTCATTGTTAACTTTCCAGCCTTGAAGTAAAATTGGTAATCTCCTGAAAAATCACATGTATGAGTGTAACTGAAACTTGAAGCAGGCAGAAAGGAAAGGACATATTTCTTGATTCAGTCATTCCCCATCCCAATACGATGAATTGACAAAGAAATTATCCTATTATAGGGATCAATGGAAGAACCTAACATCAGCTTAATTAAAAGTAAAACAAAAGGCAAATTTGGGAATTGAATGAGATTTCCACCCAGAATCATGGCATATGCATGCATCTCAAAGTTGGATCTCATATTTGTTTTCTAATTATAGCTGCCCATACACTCAGCCAATAACATTCTCTATTGAACTAAACATACTACAGAGTGACCATTTGTCTCAAAATCTGGATATAAGCAGATGATTATACTGGCCATAGAAAAGCTCCTGGTAAGGAGATGATTCCTTCAGAGGTATATAAGATGAATGATTCCTGGTGAGTGTCCATCTTGATTAGGTTCTTCTCAAAAATAATATATTATACCTTCTCAATGGAAATAAAATACAGTACACCTAAACTTCAAATAGGGTAATCAACAGAAACCTGTGAATTATCATTCAATTTGATTGTTATATATTCCTTCTAAACTGAATTCCAGGCATCTTTTGAACAAACTAGAGGATTTGAAGGAAGAAGCAACCTATTTTATCCAGAACAGACATGATTCATAAGGATATTGCATAATAAATTACTATACCATTTTGAAGGCCCTTATTCAGAAATATACCAGACCAAATAACTCTTTGCCACACAACTGACCTTACCTCTATCTTTGATTGCATTGATAGGTCTCAGTTATGGGAGAAACTAACTAGGGCATATAACAATAAATGCCTTCACAAACTAATAATTGAATTACATAGATTAGAGCCAATGTAAGAGTAGACCAACAGGGGTCCTTGTTAGAGTCTATTTTATTGGAGAGAAGAGTTAAACAGGACTGTTTATTTGCTTGCTTCTTATTCAATTTTTATATCACTGATCTTGTAATGGCCAGAAAGTTAGGAAGGTTTTTTTCCCTCTCCACTTCATTTAATGGATATAAGACTTCAATATTAATGTATGCTGATGTCCCTTATTTCTTATTTGCTGTTATTATTTGTGCTGATATTGGCTTTAGAAGATTATTGGCCAGACTGCCTGTTTACTATAAAAAGAGAAAGCTGAAGATAAATTTAACAAAACAATATAGTAGTCTTTGTAGTAGTGATGGTAGTTTTTGACAGATAAATAGTAGTAGTAGTAGTTTTTGGCAGAAGCAATATTAAACATAGATGGAAAATTAATCTGTCAAACAGATAAATACAGCAATGCTAAAAATCTGAGCATCGCATTTCACTTTCAAGTCTCTTTAATGGAAAACACATTTAACTTATTTCTTAGCAACTGCCAAGCACTCTGTGAACACTATTCTAGAGTGGTTTTTTTTCCTATTTAAAGAAGAACAGTTGGTAACCTCTGCAATTAAAATAATTTAAGGCCAGATGATAAGGCAGATATTTTATGGAGCTGAGATGGGTGTGTGATGAGAATTCTTATTTCTATTCGAAATAATTCAAAACAAGTTCATTAAGAAGATTTTGTGCCTTCAAATGGAATCCCCACTACCTACATAGGGTTGCAGTAAAGCTATCTTCCATTGCTGTTGAATAAAATGAATACATATTGCACTGTTGGGACAGTGCAAAATATTAAAAGCCTTCAGGAATCCCATCTAGCCAACCTCCATTGCACAGTTTGGAACCAATGGATAAAAATTTTGATATAGATCACACAAATCTATTCCCTAACACCTTTAAGTGAACCTAGTTTTTGTAACAGAGAAAATATTAGAGTTAGGCTTTTTTAAGTGGGATGTCTATAAAAATGCCAGTTTGCTTTCCAAATTTTCATTTTGGTAGTCTGTTCTCTGCAAATCTCAAAGAGGAATTTTTAAATTCTGTCCCAATAGTAAAGCATAAAATATTTGAGACCATGCATCTTTCTTTTTAAAGTTTGGCTAAATATGGATATAATAGATATTGATAAAACTTTCCAAGAGGTAGCAAAACTAGATACATAATTTAAATATATAAATAGCACAATATTGGAAACTGAGACTAATTAAATGGATAGAAGTTCTAATATCCAGTAATGTATATAATGAATTTATATAATCCTTGATATTATAAAGTAATATAACAACTAACAATTTAGAAAACAATAATAAAATAAATTCCCAGATATTTAAATCTGTTTTTGAACTTCCTTCTGGCAGGTTTTCTTAATTAATCTTTGAGTTCTCAGTTCAGAAAGTAAGAATTTGTGAGTTTCAACCCTAGTCCTATTGGTAACATCATCTATGATTGTCTAATCCAATGGGATGGCTGATATTAGAATATTCTCAAATGCACTAACTGTTAATGGCTAATTGCATCCATAAAAGCTCACACATAGTTTTATTTTGTCTAGTTTTGATTTATTTTATGATATGTATTTACTTCTTGAGAGAAAGAAAATGGTTAATAAGCTTGCTGAATATAAAGTCAGCTTTTTCCTCTGAAGATAGATTTGAGCATACGTTGATTGCATGTATTATAGAGCCAATATAAAGCATACATCAGAAGGCACAATAATTCTATAAAGCATACATCAGGAGGCACAATCATTCTATGAAGAAAAATTGTAAAGTAAGTATGGCATAGTGTGCACATTAGTTTATTGAGATAAACTAGCATTTATTTAACTAAAAATTACATGACTGTTCATTAGTTTTTAAAGCTAATTTTCATACTGAGAAAAGGAATTAATAAAATGATATTATATGATAGTGTTCTTCTAGAATAAAATACAGTATGTTAAGGGAAGGAAGACAACAAGGAGAGATTTATTTTCTGACATTTGGCCCTAAAAACAGACTAGATTAAAGATAGTTAAATCTAAAAACAATTATGAATCAGAAAAAAAGAGAATCTATTGCTAGTGGCTCTATCCTAAATAGCAAATCAAGTGGATATTAAACATAAAAGTTTAATGTTAAAAAGAAAATGTTGTTTGGAGAATTTTGAAGATATTGTCCTGAGTTCTCATTTCTCTTCATAAAAATGTGCTTTCTTCATGTATCATAATCTTAGGTATCATCTGGTGAATATGATATGAGAATTATGTTTTCTTTTGTAAAATTTCAGTGAACTATTACTGTATGTTAATGTACTCTCATATAGATATTTGTCAACCAATATTAATTTATTTAAAGCATTGTTATTTTTTTAGCCACGACATTCCCAGAATTACTGTTAAAATTATACTTTCTGTGTATGTATGTGTGTCTGTTTTTCTGTCCCTGTTTTTCTTTGTGTGTGTGATTTACACAAATTCAAGCACATGGAAATCTGTTCCCTCAAGTTAACATATAACAATTAATTACTTTATTTTTCTTCTAGATCTTTATTTCATCTATCCTTCAAAAGCTGGATGAACAAATAAAAAATACAATGGTACAATGGGGAAAAAAACTTTGGCTATAACATAGAATTAGAGAAATGGCAAAATTTATGGGAAAGGAACTATAGATTAACAATGGCAACTTCTTATAAAGAAAATTTATATAAAATATTTTATAGATGGCATTTACCACCTGCTAGGTTAGCTAAAATATTTAAAAATATGTCTAGCAAATGTTGGAAATGTAATAAAAAATGGGTATATTTTATCATATGTGGTGGACTTATGCTAAAACAAAAAAAAAAATGGGCAAAAATACACAGATGGCTAGAAAAGATAAAAAGGAAACATGTAGATTTTAAACCTGAACTGTTTTTATTAGAGATGATATAGAAAAAATTGATAAGAAAAGTATGTATTTAGTATTACATGTCTTAACAGTAGTGAGGATTATCTTCGCACAATATTGGAAAAATGAAGAAACACTGCAAGATGAAGAGATAATAAAGAAGATATTAGATTGTGCAGAAATGGATACTTATATTGAAAATCAAACAGAAAGAAGACACAGAATATTATCAAACATGGAACTTCTTTTACCAATGGTTGGAAAAAAGGGGTAGAGAGTAAAAACGGAATCTGTATTGCTAAGCAAGTTAAATATCCAGACAACACAGTGTTTATTAAGCACTAAAAATGAAATTAATAAAAAATTAATAAAAAATATTTTTTAAAAAAGCATCTAGAAATCTGTTCCATCAAGTTAACATATAACAATTAATTACTTTATTTCTCTTCTAAATCTTTATTCCATTTATCCTTCAGGAGCTCACTCTATATATTGAAGGCTGTCTCCAATTTTTCATCACTGTAACAATTCTGCAAGAAGAGTAAGAAATAATTACTGATCCTAAAGCTTCAGGAAATTTCCAAAGAAAATGGACTTGAAAAGATCTTCCAAGTCCTACACAGTGCAACCAGGAAAATAATGAAGTGGAAGAAGAAAACAATTTGTGATTGATAGGTTACAATTTAGTCAATCAAGTATAGGAATAATGCTGTGATTAGGTACAGGGATGCATTGTATCCATTCTTTTAATTGTGTGATTCTCTTTTCATTCTTCACATTTTTTCAGTGTATTTTTCCATTCTGTTCAAAGTTTGTAACAATGTATCATGAAGTTAGTTCACTATTTTATGTAAGTGTCACATCTATGTTTATAAATTAATTAAGTCATAAACATGAATAATCACACAACAATCCCTTACTTTTTACTCCTGGAATTCTCAAAAAATCGACATCTTCAGCGTTTGCATTTCTTTGTTTTCTTTGTGTTATATCTGACAACTATAATGGCAAATGTTCTCATTATATTGGCAGTAGCTTTAGATAATCAATTGCATAGCCCCATGTACTGGTTTCTGATGAACTTGGCTATGCAGGACTTAGGCTCAGTTTCTGTCATAGTCCCAAAATCCATGGTGAATTCCCTCATGGACACCAGGTACATCTCTTACTCAGGATGTGCTGCTCAAGTCTTCATATTTATCTCCTTTGCAGCTTCTGATTTATCCCTCCTGACTGTCATGGCATATGATCGGTATGTTGCCATTTGCCATCCACTGCACTACGAGATGGTGATGAATTGGAATGCCTGCAATAAAATCATGATTCTGGTTTGGGTCACCAGTCTTCTCTATGGAACAATGCATACAAGTGGCACTTTTTCAATCCTTTTTTGTTCTAATGTTGTCAACCAATTCTTCTGTGAAATTCCACAATTGCTAAAGCTATCCTGCTCTGGCTTCAATCTAATTGAACTTGGAGTTCTTATGGCCAGTGTCATTGCAGGAATTGGTTGTTTTAATTTTATTATTGCATCTTATATCATGATTTTCAAGGCAGTGCTTAGAATTCCTTCTGAACAAGGAAGGCAAAAAGCTATATCCACTTGTGTTCCTCACCTTATAGTAGTATCTATGTTTTTATTAACTGGATGCTTTGCCTATCTGAGACCTCCTTCTAATACTCCATCTTACCTAGATTTTGGGCTGACTGTTCTGTATTCCCTTCTTCCACCCCTGTTCAATCCAATCATCTATAGCATGAGAAATAAGAATATCAAATTGGTCCTTTCAAAACTGTGGAAATTCTGAAAATTACCTTTAATGTTGTTTCTATTCTGTTCATCACAGTTTTGCATTTTCCTGTCTTTTTCCTTACATCTTTGAATTAAGTGTAAGTTACAAAAAAAGCACAATTAAGTTCCAGATACATCCAATCTTTCAACCAGAAGACTGGTAGAACTCCAAAAATTTCTGAGCATATATCAGTTTCCCTAATTAGTCAATGCAGTTTTCAGTGGCTAAATGTACATGTCTGGCAGTTTCTAGCATGCCACAGAACAACTCTTGATCTTTAGTGGAATAGGATCAGGCTGTAATGTGATTATGAAAAAGAAGTGTAATTGAGAGGAAGTTTAAATAATGTTTCCTATTTTTTCTGTTCTTTTCTGTAAAAAATGGCTTCTCCTTTAATGCTTGTTTAATAATATGGCTAGTTAAAGCTTTAGCTTTTCCCAAAGTACACAGGGATCTTCTCTCTTTAAATGGTCCTTTTATTGCATGCTTTAATATTTTGCTCCTTCGAATCAATACAGACTCCTGACAACTGCCTGGAGAAATCCCTGCATTTCTGTTGGCAATGCTTTTTAGCAGAGGGTTGCCATTATCTCCTTCTTAAGGCAGAGAGAGAGAAAAAAAGAAAGAGATGGCTCAAAGAAACCCAGCTGGCTTTGTTCATAAGGCAAACTAGAGCTTGCAGCCAGGGGTGGGATTCAAAAATTTTAGCAAGGGTTTCTCTGCCTGGTTGCTGGATGGGCATGGCCATGGTGGATGTGGTCTAGTCGGCCTTCTGTACCATGGTGGGGGAAGGCATTTTTGCCCTCCCCAGGCTTTGGAGGCTTTCCTTGAGCTTCCACAAGGGTGAAAACAGTCTCCCCAGGCTCTGGAGGCCCTCTGGAGGCCAGAAATTGGCCCATTTCTGGCCTTCCCAAACTTCCAGTAGGCCCATTTTTTGCCCTCCCCAAGCCTCCGCATGCACCCTGCACTTACTTGCATCCAAAACAGGCTGCGTGGGACTCCAGGGAGGCATGGGGCGGGTTGGGTGGGGCCAGCCAGGAGTGGGATTTGGCGGTTCTCCAAACTGCACAGAATGTTAGCTGAACCCCTGTGAACCCCTAGCAGTCCACCCCTGCTTGCAGCCCTTCAATTTCTAGCCTGATGCTTTAAACCATTGTAATTTACATTACATAATTTAGCATTCTTTTCCTCAGAAATGTTCTGACATTAGGCAGGAAGGGCAGGATGGGTGAACACATAATATGTTGATAACTACAAGAAATGAGAAGGGCAAGGAGAGTACTTAGGATGATGCAAAACATCAGTATGTATTTCAGAAATCTTATAACCTGATATAAATTGGAAGAGATAATTTATAATTCCTGATCCAATACCTGGAAAAGGGAGGATAAATAAAAGTATACAGTGAAGGAGATCTTAGATAGAAAGAAGGAAGATTTGTTAAATATTTTGGGGCTCACTATAAGTGTACTTAGGAAGGTGCCAGGTACTTACTGGATTTATCTAGAGAAGATCAGTACCTTCCTTTGGTAAAAGTGAGTGGCTTCCATTTAAAGGGATATGACTTTTATATTCCCCTATTGAATGCTATTTTCTAGTTCTCCTGCTTTATCTATGAATATACAGCATCTTGTCTACATTTTAATTTGCATTTAAACTTAATATTTTGCTCTGATCTGCTTAATAAAATCTTTTATTGTTTACCTAATTTGTGTTACAAAGCAGTCTTTTAATTTATATTTACCTTTCAGAAAAAGAAATTTCAGCAGAAGAGGACCGAATGGTTTTACTTCTATACTGAAATATTTAATGTATTCACTGGAGGGGAATTTTTTTTCCAAATAGAAAATATGGAAAGGATTCTTTATAATTGATTCCAAAATGCCATTTCAATTTTCTCTGCACTTTTAGTACATTTGTTAGTTCTCAACCTGTTTCCACATTTCAAATTATAGTAAGAAGTCCTTGCAGTCATTTATCATGACTGCCTTGATCAATAACTCCAATTCTGGTTCTCCCTGTTATAATTGTTAAGTGACTGTGTGGGTTGTTAAGTGATGTATGGGGTGGCTCACTGGATGAGTGGACAAGAGGCAGGCTCAGGCTCACACTGCACCATTATCCAAGCTAACATGTGGCTAGTGTGCAGTCTCCAAGGGCATTTTCCACCACCTGAGAGTCCCACTGCACAATTTCCACCTCCCAAGATCCATTACACCCTTCTGGAAGGGGGTGTCAATCTTTGATCTCTCCAAAGGGTGCAATTTTAAAAAATGTGCTGTTCTGAGAGATTGTGAGAAAGGCACCAACATCCAGAATAAGATCTATTTCCAGAATGGGATAAGGCGGCCTATCTAGGAAGACAGGGTGCACCTTTAGAAATGCAATCCTTGGAAGAGGTAAGTATAGAATGGGGTGATGTGGCAGGGTGGTGGCCCAAATACTCTGGGATTCAGCAGGATGGGTGAAAGATAAGTGGGTGACAGAAGCTGCAAATCTCTCCAGTCTGTCATAAACATGTTCAGATTCCCAAGATAATTACTATCATGTGACTGTAGGGGCACTATAACAGCTGTAACTTCAAATATAGATCATATAACCCTTCATTCTGCACCATCATAATTTCAAACAACTGATCATAAATCAAGGACCACCTGTATTCTCTCGTCTCCCAGAATTCTAAACTTGCTGGAGACCACAGTCTAGCTGATAGTTGTTCAATATTTTTAACATCAATATTTTAGGGATCTTCTTTCACAAAGAACCTATCAAATAGGATCATCTAAAGATCATCAGAAATAAGACTGCAGTGTATGTATTATACCATTTATATTGAATTGTCTCTCTATAATACATTGGTATGTATTATACCAATTATATTGTATGACTGTCTCTCCATCTAATGTCTGTCTCATGCCTGAGGATGGTATAGTTTGAAAAGTGATGCTCATGATTAAAGATGAAGCTCCACCACTTTTTTACTTAAATAAAATATAATGAATACAGAGCTTTAATCACCCTTTCTATCTTGTCATTTGTTTGTCATAATTATAAAAACATATTTAAAAAGTCATATTTATTAACTGCCAGAATGCACATCTAGTGCATTCTGGCAGTTCATTTTCTTTCACTAGATATCTATTTCACACTACTAATGTTACTGATTACTCTTGAGAATTTATTCAACAATGCTTGGCTCTGCCATATATGCAGGTCTATAGAGTGTAATTTCAACAACAAGCATAATTTTCTGTGTAATCCATCTCATACTTAGAAAATGTGGATTTTATACTATTTTATTGTTTTATTGAAATCATCATTGATGTGACCTGAGGTGTGGTGTGGAAATGTAATTCCTCTCTTTTCTATGGCACATTTTCACTGTGCCATCACTTCCATCCTTCTTGAAATTAATTATTTTTTAATATGATCTACAATCTAGCACAGTGGAAACTATGTATATTAGCACTGTTCCCACATTTAGAAAACATGCTTTTAAATCTTAATAAATCTTAATAAATCTTAATAAATTAAATCTTAATAAATCATATTGGAGGACACACACTCGACCTTATTTTTCTCTCTGGACAGTGGATAAATGATCGTGGAGAGGGGACTCTATCTATTGACCCTCTGTCATGGACCGATCATTCCCTCCTTAGACTCGACTTTTCCTCCGCCATCCCCCGTCGCAGGGAGCTTGGGTCATTTCCCGCTTCCTTAGCCCACGATTCATCTGAGACCCTTGTCGCGGCCTGGGAACAGGCTGCGGTGGGGGCCCTGGATCGAATCGCGCCTTTGCGGCCTCTGATCCGACGCAGATCCCGGGCGGCTCCTTGGTTTACCGCAGAGCTCAGGGAAATGAAGCATCAGAAAAGACGCCTGGAGGGTGGTTGGAGACCGAACACAACTAAGAACCCATATTAGGTCTTATCTTGTGGTGATAGAAGTAGCGAAACATAACTATTTCGCCACTCTCATTGCATCTGCAGAAAATCACCCAGCAGCCCTGTTTAGAGTGACCCACTCCCTTCTTAATCAGGGAGTGAGGGAGGACCCCTTACAGGGCCGTGCTGAGGACTTTGCACAGTTTCTGCAAGATAAAATCACTCAGATTTGGACCGGGTTGGACTCTGACTGGACAGAGTCCATTGAGGTGACAGGGCCTAGTCTCGGTGGAGACATCTGGGTTCAGCTTGAGCCTGTTTCATTGGATGACATGGACAGGATTATGAGTAGGCTGGGGTCTTCCACATGTTTACTGGACCCTTGTCCCTCCTGGCTTGTTTCGGCAGCCAGGGAGGTGACTGGAGACTGGATCCAGGCTATTGTCAATGCTTCACTAAAGGAAGGGGTCTTTCCCGCTGTGCTTAAAGAGGTGGTGGTTTGACCCCTCCTTAAGAAGCCTAACCTGGATCCTGACGTACTTAACAACTACCGTCCAGTCTCCAACCTTCGCTTTTTAGCAAAGGTTGTTGAGTCCGTGGTGGCACAGCAATTCCCTCAATTCCTGGAGGAAACTGACTACCTGGATCCTTACCAATCTGGTTTCAGGCATGGCCACAGCACGGAAACGGCATTGGTCACCCTAGTAAATGATCTCTGGCGGGCCAGGGATGGGGGTTGCTCCTCCATCCTGGTCCTTCTTGACCTCTCAGCAGCGTTCGATACCATCGACCATGGTATCCTGCTGCAGCGGCTCAGGGGGATAGGGTTAGGAGGCACTGTTTTACAGTGGTTCTCCTCCTATCTCTCAGGCCGTCTGCAGTCTGTTTGGGCGGGGGGTCAGGGATTCTCCCAGAGGCCTCTCACTTGTGGGGTGCCTCAGGGCTCGGTTCTCTCTCCTCTGCTCTTTAATATCTATATGAAACCGCTGGGTGAGATCATCCATGGTTTTGGGGTGAGGTATCATCAATATGCTGATGATACCCAGCTTTACATTTCCACCCCTGACAACCCTAGGAATGCCCTTTCCGTGATGTCCCACTGCCTGGAAGCGGTGCAGGTTTGGATGG